ACTGGTGGTAAGGTACGAGCTGCCAAGCGTCTGCCTAGAAAATCCCATACATGCTCGATGAGATTGAGATCCGGAGATCGTGCCGGCCAATCCATACGTTCAATATCCTCACTCTCTAAGAGCTGTTCGGCAGCTACTCTGCGATGACATGGTGCATTGTCGTCCATGAAAAGGAACTGCGGACCCATAGCGCCTCTAAAAAGACGCACATATGGAAGAAGAATCTCGTTACAATAACGGGTCCCGTTGACTGAACCTGCGTCGAAGATGTGAAGGTCTGTACGACTACCAAGCATGATGCCTTTTCAAACGAGAACACCGCCACCTCCATACCTGTCCCTTTCAATGATGTTCGAGGGAGGATTGCGGCTTCCCCGCTCTCTCCAGATGAGTATGCGATGAGAATCGCTACTCAGACTGAATCTGCTCTCATCTGTAAAGAGTACTCGTCCCCATTCATTGTCTCTCCAATTCCGGTGTTCCGGGCACCACAGAGAACGCCTTCTCCGATGGGCAGGCGTTAGAGGTACACACGTACAGGGCGTCGTCCAAACAGACCACCACCGTGCAGTCTTCTGGCCACGGTAAAACGCGATATCGGTCGTCCAGTCGCCTGTGTCGTGTGTCTAGCGATTTCTCCCGCTGTCTGCCGCCTGTTTCTTCTGGCCTGTAAGGCAATATACCGGTCATCTGCGGGTGTGGTTCCTCGTGGACGACCACTACTAAACCTCCGGATAGCTGTTCCTGTAGTTTGAAATTGTCTCCAAAGTCGTGAAACGATGCTGTGAGCAATTCCGAACTCTGCAGCCACACTTGTCACACTGCGGCCTTCCTCCAACTTCCCAATGATTCGACCTCGGGTAAAAGCATCCAGATGTCGTCTAACAGATTGATTATTCGCCATTTCTCGCTGAGGCAGCAACTCGGTGTGATTTTAACTGCTATACGGCGTGCAATCTCTTTGCCAGAAATACTGATCTTACACCGACAACATGCTTTATACTACTCAGACACTCCCCCATTACGTCTACCTGCATATCTGCGCATGTACTACCGTACATCACCTTACTTAATCTCCTGATTGGTCTTTCTGTCCGCTCTGCCTCTTCGTTCAGCTGATATGCTAATTTTTCGACTTCGTCCTTAATTTTTGCACACCAGTGTAAACTTCAGGATATATTCTTCTAGCCCTGTCAGTATTTACCGTATTTGCCGGCGTATAAGACGCACCTCCTTTTTTCATATACATTTTTGAAGGATAAACTTCATTACTGATTATTATAATGAATTTACAGTATTTTAAATATGAAGTAATACAAATACAAAGTCATATTTTCTGCAAATACCCAATCTATCTGGGAAAGAACACCTTTTAATCTTCTTCGTCAAAACCCAGACACTCATCTCCAGAGTTAAATGAAGAGTCACTTGAAACCTCTTCTAAATCAGCATCTGAAGTCCTCATAACAAACTGTCCTCTGTACCATCCAGCGCTTCCATGTTCTTTAGCATACGTGGTCACACGTGGCATGTATGCTATGTTATAGCAATGCCGACGTTCTTTTTGATCCATAACTTGCCAAGAAATTAAAGAAAATTGAAGAGTAGAGATTTCACACACTTAAAAGTCGTTCACAAAAACTGGAAAGTTTAAACGAACCCATCTGTGATCGTCGATAACAGCGCATGCACAATCACTGAACTCTACGTAACTGTAATATTCCCACACTCCGCAAAGAAACAAGAAAAAAATCGCATAACTCCGAATACAGGAAATTTCCAGAAATGAAATATCGATGCATAAGACGCAGTATCGACGTATAAGGTCAAAATCACATTATGTTTCGGCTACGCGGGACTTATCGTCGAAAGGGACAATTCTCAGAACCCGCACGATTCCGGGAAACCCACGTAACTAGGTTACCATTTTCATTTACTACAAAGACTTGAACGCCAAACACTAATCGATTATCGCTCAAATTGGGATCGCGTGATGCTTCAGAAGCAGAACTTTCGCCTGATTGGTTGTCTCTACCCGGAACAGAGGTCCAGCCGAGACATTTTCGGTGAGATTTGAAAAAAATCACGCGTAGCCGCAACATTGTTTCCGTAACTAGGCGGGACTTTGCTTCATATGGGGCTCTTTTTGCTAGGAATCCTCCTGTTTAAACCAGTGCTACCAGAATCTCGTTTCTCAGAAAAGTCCCGTCTATCAGAGACTGTAGCCATGTGTGATAACCTCTTAAGACGCACTCCGTTTTTCAGACCTACTTTCAAAGAAAAAAGTGCGTCTTATACGCCGGCAAATACGGTAAGTCCTGTAAAAACACGGGATGGATAAAATCTGCTTTTACATTGGACTAGACGTTCAACAGGCCAAAAGGTGGCTCTAATGACCACTAAGAAGTCTGGATTAATCTCTGTAAATTTTTTGGGGATGCATCAAGGAGGGAGTTTTATTCTTGCCCAGTTTTTACAAGTTCAGATAGTCTTAAATAACAGTAAGAACAGCGTGACCATGTCAAAAGCGTACAACAGCTGCTGCAGCTCTGACACGTTCATTATTAAGATGTGTTTGGAAAGAACCTGATTATTGCCTTGATATTCGTCATGTTATAAAAGAGTATCGCATATAATATTTGTGGTTTAGCCATTTAAACTTCAGGTCACATTCTTTTAACCCTGTAAGTATTTAAGTCGTGGCATTAAAATTCTTATTTCTGTGAAACATTAAAATTGTCTGTTTTGTCTTAGGCTAACTCTGCATTTGGTGGCTAAGATAAATAAAACTGCAGAGAAAAATGTAGCTGATTGTAAGACATGTTGTATATAGAAGAAAAAACATAAAAGACTAGGAGACCGAATGGATGAAACCACTGAACACCTGTATATCTAATCGTCACTCTGAATTCGAGACGAAAGGGTCGGCTGCGTGGGGTTTTCGTAATTTCTCCCATGTGCAATATAAATACCAGCTAGTTTTTCTCAGAAAATTGTCCACGAAAGCTTCGTACTCATAGGCAGATAGCCTTTATGCACTTTGCCTTAATCGCGCCCAGAGGGGAAAGTGGTTAGTGACTCTGATTGCTGTACCGGAGTGCCCGGGTTCGAATCTCGGAGAAGGCATGGATGTAAATTTTCTGACCATTCATAAGAGGCAACGGTGATAAAGAGGTGATAAGATTCATACGAAGCCACCTATTAGGTGATTCCATAATAAAGTAACCACCGCTTCCGGTCTTAGCAGTGGCCAGTGCCTATAACGGCTAGTGCCCGTCATTTAGGAAGAAAAAAAATTACCTTAATCAATTAGCGTAACCTAACCAACAGAATGAGTTATTTCATTCGAAATTACAGAATGACTGCGAAACTGTATGCACATTTTGGTAGATCCTAATATAAACTATAAACCTCTGATTACTGCTGGTGTATATTCAGAATACCCACAAAAACATTAATGAATTCTACTGCTATTGAAAATAAGTTAGAAGAAATATGTATTCACATGTTAGATGAAATATTTATTACATAAAGATAACTAGTTACTTTAGTGTGCAGTAATGGCTTAGAGTTTACTTCTCACGAATTCAGGACTTAAATGCGTTGAAACTGAATTCATCACAAACCGACTGTTATTCGCCATCTAGTAACTATGGGCTAAGACGAAAGTTACAAAATTAAAATTGCTTTAAGAAAAGATGTTTAAAGTCCTGAAAACAAAGTTAAGCTTTGTAATTTCGTATTATAATACAGGCAAATACTAGAGTTGGTTAAGTTGAATTAATTCTAAAAAGAGATATTCGGCTGAAAATAGGCCTCATTTTACTCGTGGTTAGAATACGAAGCCTCCGACACTATATAAGCTATAATGTCATACGTCCTGACATTTTGAAGTTGTAAACGTGTGATGACTGTGAGGCAAAATATATATATGATATTTAAAGAAATCTAAGTTCGAAAGAATTTACATCAACCTTAATCATGAATGGAAGCCTGGGAAAATCTCTAGACACGAAAAGTTTTTGCATCGCTGGATATTTGTCATATTTTAGCATATTCAAAAGTCATATTTAACCCTCTGAGCATCATGGCCAGCTTTATCCGGTCATGAGAGTTTTTGTTACTTGTTATATATTAGCTTATAATTAAAGATATCTTACCTACGGAATAACAGATTTTGAAACTTAATGGCAGTATCAAAACACCTTTTCATACGATCAAGATGGAATGTAAAAGGTACACATGTCTACTGACTGATTCGTAAAATATCATTATTTTAAAACGCGTAGTTTAGAATTTTGTGTATAAATAAATTAAAATATCATTATTTTTATCAGTGTAGCTTAGAATTTAGTGCATAAATATGTCATCCTGACTGTTCACAAAATTGTACATATATACTCAACGAACTTTGAATTAAAATTCAGAATTTTATGTAGGAATTTACTCTTTTTGAAATGTTAAGTATGTTTACATGGGCTTTACACAGTTATGCATCAAATATAACAATTTTTTTTAAAACTTTATATTGAAAATATGGTATTGTCTTGAAGGAAACACTCTTAGGATTATACATTGTTTTTTTTTTCTCTAGGAATGAAAGATACGATCTAAAGAAACAGAGCTTTGTTTCCTTAAGCTACTTTTAAAACTAATTAACTACGTCACAGTCCTGCACATAACATTTCGCATTCGTCATTGCTTAAAGTAATTCACTTTGTTGAGGCAGTTAACTGCGGATAATAGGTAATTTAATATTTCTTAGAACTAGTCAACCCACTTGAAGAGGTCCCCACAATACAATCCCCGCCATATTAAATAAAATAACAGATCTATATATTCTCGATCTGTGCTCGACATACCAGCGGAAAGAGGTAAAATGATGTAAAGTATAAGTTGATTGTGTTATTTAGGAGTGAAATAAGAGTTTGCTATTTTCTGTAACAGTTATATGATTACACAGTCATCAAACATACAGGACAACTTAAAAAATAACAAACCTAAAATTAATCCAATAGCGCTTCTCTTGTCGAGATATGATCCCATCATCATTGTTCCAGTTGCGTCGTTTATAACTGCAACAACTTCAACAGCAACTCCCTAAAAAATCATATTGAATTCATAATTGAGAATATTATTTTAAATATTGTTTTATAATCACACAATACTACAATATCCAAATAAATGAGTAAACAAATATAACGAATGTCGGAACTTACTTCTTTTTTCTCTAATGCAGATCTCAGCATCTGTACTACTTCCTTTCCGACAACATTTTTGCACTTGAAAGATTTAGTCCATGTTACAAGTATTCCTTCATCAATTCCAGTTTGAATCATTGGAAAAGAAAAGCAAAATCCTAAATGCGGAAAAACAGATTTATAGACAAAATGAGAAGAAAAATATATTTAACATTTTCTATTTTATGACGCTGGTGTCAAAATTATCATTACTCTGAAACAGAAACACGAACTGAAAACAGAAAATGAAAGATGTAAATCTTTCCCATGAAGCAAATAAAGTTGAAATAATATGTAACAGCGAAAGTTTAGAAAAAGTGAATATTTCGGAAACAAATGAAGATTTTTTTTTAATGTCATGCTGTTATTTGTTTTTTGGAAAGAAATCGATAAAATTAAATAAAATAATGATAGTTAAGTTTTCCTTTCATTTAAAAAAAAAAAAAAATTCCATGAGAAAACGATGATGATTCATGAAATTATTCCTTCAATTCATTCAATTATTCATTGATTCATGAAAAATGTTTGATTCGTAAAATATCATTATTTTAAAGCGCGCAGTTTAAAATTTTGTGTATAAATAAATTAAAATATCATTATTTTTATGAGTGTAGCGTAGAATTTAGTGTATAAATATGTCATCCTGACTGTTCACAAAATTATATATATATACTCTAATGAACTTTGAATTAAAATTAAAATTCAGAATTTTATGTAGGAATTTACTCTTTTTGAAATATTAAGTATGTTTACATGGGCTTTACACAGTTATGCATCAGATATAACAAATTGCTTTAAAACTTTATATTGAAAATATGATACTGTCTTGAAGGAAACACTCTTAGCATTACACATTGCTTTTCTTTCCTCTAGGAATAAAAGATACGATCTAAAGAAACAGACCTTTGTTTCCTTAAGCTACTTTTTTTTTCGAAATGTTTTACATAAATATATTTTTATAAAATGAATTACCATTTATTATTTTTAAACAAATACTCTACGATATAAAGCAGCCTGAGTATCACGCAAGAAACCTGAGTACCCAGGTATCTCATTCCATCTAGCTGTTTAAAATACTAATCGTTTAAACACTTAAATACCTGGTCAGGGGTTAATGCGTGTTTTATTAATGTCGTTTAAATACCTGTTTGCTCATTAATTCACGCTTTTTCCTGCAAAGTGAAACTCTAATTTAAGGAATAATATTTCATTGTAAAACGAAACATGTAATGAAGTGAATTCTAAAACAGAAAAAGATTAGCAACGAGAACTGACGTGAGTTTATCTTGTACCCTTTTTAAAATTAACCTCATCTAGCATTTTGTTGGGTAGACATGTTTTAGTCTTCTCCACTAATGTACTGTTTTTCTTATGCAAAATAAACAAGACAGGCAATATATAGTAGTGTCCAAAATTTTAAAAATATATGCGACGTGGCACACATACCTTGGTTAATCATAAAGTAGTGATTAGATATTTTTAATCATATCTAGAAAACATCATTTAGAAGAAGGCCATAACTTACGAGTGGTCGTTAGGCTCCAGGAGGAAGAAAAATAGTTTGAAATTTTCAGAGAGCGAAGTTTTTTAATATAGCAAAGCCACGAGGGCTCTCTGCTTAAGAAAAGGGATGTCTTCGTGGAGAAAATTCTGAGGGAACTGCCTCCTATTCATGCTACACACTGGGAAAAACGTGAAGCTCAACTATGCAGCCAGCCCGTTCACTTAGATCCGAAGCCAAAGCAGGTCGAACTAACAGTATTCAGTGGTCTTAATCACTCGACCGCTCTCCAGAGCGTACAATACTCCTTAAAACGTGATCTTGAAATATGGAACCGATTTTCAAGCATGGGAAATATTAATCGTGTTGCCGGTAGATTTCTTCCGAGGGTAACTGCAGCATCTGATAACCATTATTTTCATTACTGGCGCGAAGAAACTGTTACGCGACCTTTAGATAGCTAGCTTACGTCCTCTAAGCAACCATTAGATTTCGAATTAACAGATCTGCCTCTTACTGAAGACTTTGCAAGCATAGTCTTCATGCAAGAAGATCAATGTGTTACGCCTCCCTTTCTGCGTCTTCCAGGTTTAGTTTAATTAATGATACTAGACGTACAGTCAACTGGAAAGAGTCTAGAACACGCAACTTTCCGTCTCATATTCATGAAAGACATTGTTTCCATGGTGATGGTTTATTATTTGGGAAGAAGTCATAAAAACGATCGCAATAAGTTTTATTTCTTTGTTAAATAGTAGTCGATCAATGAAATCGAGGGTTCTCATCCACAGTCAAAAGATCTTAAGGGCCAAGATCTTTTGACTGTGATTGAGAACCCTCGATTTCATTGATCGACTACAGTGGCTCAATACTTCAAAATGAAAATGTTGTTCCAACAGATAACCATATTCGTCTGCTCTCGGACTTCAGCATATTTAGAATATCTACTCGGGGAAACTGCGGCGCGTCAGTTCCACTCCTAAGACTATACAGGAGGTCATATCTGCCCTCTTAGACTAACGGCATTTATAGCATAAAAAGACACTGCGGAATATGTATTTCGGCTAGAGGAGATCATACACCGTATTACATAATAATATCTTTCTCAATAAAGATAACACAGTTTTCTAAAATAGTTGTGCATAGTTTGGCATTAGAAGTTAGTCATATTTTAATATTTTAGCATTATTCAACTCATAAACAAAATAATATGCCTTTATAAAATATTTCAGAACAATTTTTATATATTCTTTTGCTCTGTAACAAAAATTTACATTAATTCTAATACTTATCCTTTAATTTTGAGCACCTGTATCCTTAAAATACACAGGAAATTAGCTATGCCTATAACAAAGTTACGATTAATGGTTATAATGAATATAGGAGGGGAATGTATATGTATATATATATTAAACTATGAAATGCTGATGCAAATATATGAGCTGATCAATATCTCTCCTGCTATCCCATGTTTAGGAAGGCTAAGAAATGAAGTGAAAAAACAAAGATTGAGCTAGAAACTATTAAGTCACGTGCGATGAGCATAGGATAAAATATGGATTATGTCAAAGCACGCAAAGGCTATCTATCTAACTGAAGGATCGCATTCGTGGAGGACATTTTAATGGAAATTGGCTTTCATTCACGTTTTACATGGGGAAAATCATAAACACTCCCTTGCAGCGAGGTCATTCTCTAGGATTTTAATCGGGTCAAACTATCAATGTTCAGTAATTTTTGTGCGAGGAGGAGGATTTCCAGTGGTAGGATCCATCTCGTTCGGTAGAACTGATTCCTAAAATATTTTTAGCTCCTAATTCTTGGATTACGGCAAAGCATGCGAGAGCTTCCTGAGGTAGAGATATCTTAGTGGAGAATTTTGAAGAAAAATATCCTTGCATTAACGTTACACATGGGTGGAACCACAAAACCAGCACGCAATTAGTTCGTCCGTTACGATTTCATTTCGAGTGGAATTACCATTGCTTATTTTATGGCTGTGTCGCTAGTGAGCTTTTTCTTTTGGTGAACCGATTATTAAAACTGAAATTTTAAAATTCAAATTTACTTAGGAAATGTGCTTGTTTATTCCCAAGTAAACTTTAGGAATTCCTTATTTACTTAATTTTATTGGTTATTTCAGCATCAAATAGATTTTTAAAACTTTCGAATTCTACTGATCTAGGCGCACCAAGAAGGTTGTGTATTAAGAAGACTCCCTCATTCAGTGATTCAGATGAATACATTTATGTCCATGTAAACTGAATATAATATGATATTTCAAGAATTAATCAATCTGCAGATAATCCTAGCAAGAAAATTTTGAGGAATTTGAAAAGGATAGAAGCCGTTTCATTTCAAATAGGTTTTAGAATCATTAGGTCATTTTGAATAAGGAGAGATGAAAAATGTACATTGCCCTCGCCGGATTCGAAACCTTGACCTCTCGAAAAAGCGTCGAGTATGCTTCCAATTACACCACGAAGGCATGCGGAAAGACGGGAGAAAATACCCCTTCTTTTAAGCCCCTTCTTCCGAGCTATGGGGCACTCGTGTCTAGGTGGGCTGAAGGGAGCCTTCAATTCTTACCTTACATACTCCTCCTTTTAAAAAGAGACGGGGCTAAGGGAATCTAATCGCCAAATCCTGGTGGTGACGAACTATTATCCACTACCCTTTTAGCTCGGGCGCCACTTGTAGAGTCATTTAGCTTTTTTTATGACGGAGACGTAAAAAATATGCAGTGCCTTCGCCGGACCCCCCGAATATGCGTCGAGTATGCTTCCAGTTACACCACGAAGGTATGCAGGACTGAAGGGAGAAAACACCTTATAAAGTGATGGTTTGGTTTGATTTATTTGATTACGACAAAGAACGCAAGTCTAAGTGCCGAAGGAAGGATGCTTTCGTGGAGGATGTTCTAACAGAAATTGTTTCGTATCCACTTTACCCACGCGGAAAACCACGAAAACGCCCAAACAGCCAGCCCATTCGTCTGAAATCGAACACTAGTTGAACTGCCAGTATTTAAAGACTTTGCTGCTGTTCGACCCCATAAGATAATGATATATTTCGCATTGTTTTTGATTAAAACAGTAGATATTATAAACAGAATCACCAAAAAAAATAATGTATACAGCGAACGCACATGAATGGAAGCGTCGCACCACTACGTAATAAATTATGTTCTCTCATCTCAGTTTATATTAATGAACCATGTAAGAAAAGGTACACTTGCTTATTTTACTGGGTCTTTAATCGAAAAGGCAATAATTAAAAAAAAACTTTTCCATAGATGGACGTATTATTCTTTGTCACGGTAAGCTGAAATTTAGAGTATGTCCAACTAAGATCAACAAACACATCTTAATTTACTGACCGCTTGCGAAAAAAACTTTAAATGCACTTTGGTTTCGTTAACACCTTTGACGTAGTATCTGGCGCATTTTTTATCCTCATTCATCGCAGCTTTAAGTGAACATAAAAAGTGCATCATAGAGTAACACAGATATACACACACAAAAAAAAGTAAATTAAAAAAATAGGGTTTTTAAAATTTTCACATTTGATACTTCTTTACACAAGCTTGCTTGCAGCATTCTGGCAAGATAAGGACAT